ACTCATCTTGTGGGTGGCTCAGGCACTCCCTAATGCCCCCAGCAGGCAGACGGCCTTTGTTCCCTCTCTACCACCTCCCCTGGGGACCAGGCTGCTGATTGGAGGGAGGGGCAGCCAGGCAGCAGGAAGCCCCACCCAGCGGTGACTTCACGCAGAGATGGGTTCAAAAGAAAAAATACAAGAAGACTTGAGGTCTTCAATGAGGTTGGTGCATTCCGAACTTATTATACAACGTGGTGGCGCAGGTCTCCACATTCCCCACGTGCTGGCCCCTTCAATCCTTATCATGCCCTGCAGGTAGACACCACTCTCCTCATTTCACCAATGAGGAATCAGAGGCCTACAGAGACCAAGTAACTTGTCCAAGGCCACATAGCTAGTAACTGCCAGAGTTGTGATTTGAACTGATGTGGTCTGTGTTCTGGGTGCTCGCGCTGAACCGCTATACCAGGCCACCCTGCCACTCCATCCAGCAGGTGCTGTAGTCTGAATAGCTGCCCCAAAATTCATGAAATCCCAACCCCCATGGTTCTGGTATTAGGCAGCAGGGCCTTTGGGGAGGTGATGGGATTAGCACCCTTATAAAATAGGCCCACGGGAGCTAGTTCACCCCTTCCACCATGTGAGGACATGGCAAGGAGCCATCTGTGAGCCAGGAAATGGGCCCTTACCAGACAGAACCTGTTGGCACTTTGAACTTGGACTCCCAGCCTCCAGAACGAGGAGAGGTAAATGTCTGTTGCTGATAAGCCACCCGGTCTATAGCATTTTGTCTTGGAAGCCTACATGGACTCAGCAGGATTAAAAGCAGATTTTGAACACATATGAACATGGGTTCACATTGACAAAGACACTTCCTAGTGGTGCATCCTTGAGTAGTTCAATCCATGGATGGCTGCTGAGCACTTAGGAGCACTAGGGAGGCAGTGGAGATGGACATAAGGGAGAGGATGCACTCTGGGCCAAGCTTTGTGCAAAGCACTGGAATGAAAGCCCAGAAGGCTGAGAATATCCTCGGAAAAACCAACCAGCTAGGGTGCAGGTGTCCCCTCTGTGCTAGAGGTGCACCCAGAGAGGAGGAACTCTCCCAGCTTGGGGTGGGGTCAAGATAACCCCTTGGAGGAGGTGACAACTGTTTTAAAGGTTCTGAGTCCACCAAGGGACAGTGGGGCAGAAAGCAGGGCAATGCAGGCGCAGGGCACAGCACATGTAGAGAAGTGAGGGAAATGTCAGGGGGCCAGGGGACAAAGTCTGAGACATGTTGGGGAGGTGACCTGAGGGAGTATGAATGCCAAAAAGAGGACTTTGGATTTTAGCCTAAGCGGAAGAATGACATGATCAGATTAGCATTTTATTTTATTTTATTTTATTTATTTATTTAATTTAATTACTTTATTTTTTTGAGACAGAGTCTTGCTCTGTCACCCAGGCTGGAGTGCAGTGGCACGATCTCAGCTCACTGCAACCTCCGACTCCCAGGTTCAAGTGATTCTCCTGCCTCAGCCTCTTGAGTAGCTGGGATTACAGGTGCCCACCACCATGCCCAACTAATTTTTGTATTTTTAGTAGAGACGGGGTTTCACTATGTTGGCAAGGCTGGTCTTGAACTCCCGACCTCAAGTGATCTGCCTGCCTCAGCCTCGCAAAGTGCTGGGATTACAGGTGTGAGCCACCATGCCTGGCTCAGATTAGCATTTTAGAAAGCTCACAGGATGGGACAGGGCAGCAAGTAGTAGAATGTGGTTTTAGGGTGGGCAGGGAGCAGGCAGGAGCAGAGATACCCAGGCCAGTGAGGAGGCTGCTGAAATCATGCAGGAGAGATGGCAAACAGGTAGTCATGGCTTCAGATGCCATTTCAAAGGCAGAAGTGGTGACTAAGCTCAAGTGTGACCAATGGGTGTGGGAGTGAGGGGAAAGGAAGTTGGGGCAGGCTCCTACACTGCTGGCTTTATGGGTTGGTTGCACCACTACCTAAAATAGGAACCATCAGAGGAGAAGCAAGTTTGGTGTTGGGGACAGTGACTAGTTTAGTTTGGGTGGGAGCTGTTGATTTTGAGGGACCCAGGGGCTACTATGGCAGTTACCATGAATGGGGTGTCATTGAAAAGGCTGATGAGGGTGCCCAGAAGAGAAGTGGTTGTTTCAGGGAGTGGGACAAATATTTCAGAGGTGGGATGATTCTGGAGGGGATATGGTTTGGTTCTGTATTCCCACCCAAATCTTCTGTAGAATTGTAACCCTCACGTGTTGAAGGAGGGGCCTGATGGGAGGTGATCAGATTATTGGGACAGATTTCTCCATGTTCTTCTCATGATAGTGAGTGAGTTCTCATGAGATCGAATGGTTTAAGAGTGTGTGGTGCCTCCCACCTTGCTCTCTCTCTCCTGCTCCATCATGGTAAGACATGCTTGCTTCCCCTTCCCCTTCCGCCATGATTGTAAGTTTCCTGAGGCCTCCCAGTCATGCTTCCTGTTAAGCCTGTGGAACTGTGAGTCCATGAAACCTCTTTTCCTCATAACCCCAGTCTCAGATAGTTCTTTAGAGCAGTGTAAAAACAGACTAATACAGGAGTCTATCAAGTGCAGGATGAGGTCACTGTAATGATGACAGTCTTTTTTTTTTTTTTTTTGAGATGGAGTCTCGCTCTGTCGCCAGACTGGAGTGCAGCGGCATGATCTCAGCTCACTGAAAGCTCCGCCTCACGGGTTCAAGCGATTCTCCTGCCTCAGCGTCCCGGGTAGCTGGGACTAGAGGCACACGCCACCACGCCTGGCTAATTTTTGTATTTTTAGTAGAAACAGGGTTTCACCATGTTGGCCAGGATGGTCTTGATCTCTTGACCTCATGATCTGCCTGCCTGGGCCTCCTAAAGTGCCGGGATTACAGGCATGAGCCACTGCGTCTGGCCAACAGTCTTTCATTATGGATGGCTCAGTAGGTGCTGTCATGGCCCTGCCCCATCCTGTGGCATTTGCTGTTCCCATCATGCAGACAGCTTCTGCCTGTAGCCCCCTGTACTCTCTGCCTCAGGGCTTTGGGGCCATGCACAGCAGGCTGGAAATATCTGGGAGATAAGATCCTCAGAGCAGCTTCCAAGGGCACTGGGAGTTGGTGATCAGCATTCTACTTCTTCCTTCTCTGGTGGAATAGTGAGAGGCACAGTCTACATTGTGTCCTGGAGGTTCCCGCTGGGACTTAGCTCTGGTTGCTAACAGTGGTAACTTGCTCACTGACATTCTTTGAATTGGCTTCTTTCCTCTCCTTGTCCCATTTCCTTACCTGTGCTTCCTGGGATCACCTCCCAAATCCACTACTTGTCCCAGGGTCTTCATGTGAAGGAACTCAACCCAAAACAGTGGCTCCAGCCCTTTGAGCTTCAGTTTCCTCCCTGTCCTTTGGGAGTATACTGAATGTTGTGAAAGCTGGGAGGCTGCACCCACATGTGAGGCTCCCAGCACCGGGCCCTGCACCCAGCAGGTACTGGGTTGGCGCCTCTCCCTGCCTTCCTCTCTCATACATATGATAGGTGTTTAAGAAACTCCCATCTGGCCAGGCACGGTGGCTCTCGCCTGTAATCCCAGCACTTTGGGAGGCCTAGGCTAGCAGATCATGAGGTCAGGAGTTCAAGACCAGCCTGGGCAACATGGTGAAACCCTGTCTCTACTAAAAATGCAAAAATTAGCTGAGGCAGGAGAATCGTGTGAACCTGGGAGGCAGAGATTGCAGTGAGCTGAGATCACGCCATTGCACTCCAGCCTGGATGACAGAGAAAGACTCTGTCTCAAAAAAAAAAAAAAAAAACTACCATTTTCTCAGACTGCCTGGAACAGCTGAAAACTTCTTTCCTGCCAATCAGCCTCCACAGGTTAGCCAATCCCTCAGGCCTGACAGGTCCTGAGGCTCCACTGAACACCTTCCACAAGACCTCCCATGCCCACAGCAAAGGGCTCCTTGGGGACTTCCTGACGAAAGGATGGGCCAGAGGCACATGCTGTCTGGCAGATGAGGCTGTCTGGGTTCCTCTAGGATAAACAGAAATCTTGAGTGTGTCTATGCACTGAGCCAGGCACTGGCTAAGACTTCTCATATACTATCATGTTTAATCCTCTCAGCAAACTGCAGGCTACTAATTCTTGCTCCAATTTCGCAATCCAGGAACCTGGCCTCAGAGTTACAGAGTTGGGTTACTTTCCCAGGCTACCACAGCCAGGCAGGGGTGGAGCCAGGATTCAGCCCTTAGTCTGCCAGAAAGAGCCCAGGATCCTCACTGGGAGAGCAGGAATGTGCCATGTCCCCCTGCTGTCCCCATGCCTGGCACAGGCTCTGAACAGAGAAGGAGCTTAGAAATGCGTGTTGGGCTGAACTGAACCAAATCAAAAGACTCCAGAGGAGAAGAAAGAGCCCACTTCCTGTTGGACACAAAGTTCCCAGGGCGTTTCTGCAGTGCCAGCTCCTTGTGCAGGGCCTGGCACACAACGATGTTCAAGCAAGGCTTGGGATCAATAAAGGAGCAAACATTTCATATTCTCGGCCAGAAGTTACACTGGGGCCCAGACCTATTATTGCATTAAGAGTTGCACAATATGATTTTCTAATTCTGTTATTCCTGCTTCATTCTTGTGTGAAAAAGACTTTTCCTTCATCAACTGTCCACAGCAACCTCCTTCCCTCCTCTGAGCTAAATCCGCATGTCTGAAGGAAGTTGTCCCGCGTGTCCCACTAAATACAGGCTCCTTTCAGCTCCCTCAGGAGTGGGGGTGGGAAGAACCTGTAGCAAGCACCTACTCTGTGCTTTAGCAAGTGCCATCTCCTTTCATTTTCACAACAGCCCCTGGGTCGGAGCTGAACAGCCCTGCTGGATGGATGAGAAGACCCAGACCAGGGGAGTTAAATGACTTGCCCAAGGTGACCTGGCAAGTTACAGGCTGAACTGGGATTAATCCCAGATCTACCTGGCCCCAAAAGTTATGCCTTTTCTCCACCACCCACTTTCCTTCCAGGCCCGAGTTTCTTCCCTTCCTGATACACTGTGGTCGGTGCAGATCTCAGAATGTGTAAACCTGGTGACACCAGATCCGTCACTTGACAGTGAGTGAAGGAAGTACCCAGGGATCGGCTTACTAATTCTAGGGGCCAGTGAATTATTCATGCCATCATTAACTTGGAGGCCCTTTCAGCCTCACCTCTCTCCCCTGCTCCGGACCCTCAGATCCTGGCCTACCTGAGCTCGGCAGACCTGTGGGGGCCCCTGGTGAGGAGATGCTGGCAGAGCGGGGGGCTTGCCTGCTGCTGGCAGTGGCACTGCTGGGCCCAGGGCCCCGGGCCCAAGCCATGGAAGGTAGGCACTCTTGGGACAGACACAAACTGGGAGGGGAAGGAGGTGGGCAGGCAGCAGCCAGGGGCTCAAGAAGTTTCTACATGGGAAGCCAGAAAGCAGGAGGTCCTTTCAGGGGACGTGGCTGAGTTGAGAATGTATTTGTTCCTGAGATGGGGGAAGACAATATTTATTGAGTGTCTGCCATGTACTGGATGTTTCACATGTAGGTTGCATTTAATATGTACAACAAACTTCAAGGTGGTTGTTAGTCCCCCATTTTCCAGATGAAGAAACTGAGGGCTAGAGATATTAAGTAACCTGTCCAAGACTACATGGTCACCAAGGTTGAAGGGAATGGCTCCAAAAACTATTAAAGGTTTATTGCTAAAGAGGTTTTTTTTTTGTTGTTTGTTTGTTTGTTTTTTGAGACAGAGTCTTGCTCTGTCGCCCAGGCTGGAGTACAGTGGCCCAATCTCAGCTCACAGCAACCTCCACCTCCCGGGTTCAAACAATTCTCCTGTCTCAGCCTCCCAAGTAGCTGGGATTACAGGCGTGTGCCACCACAACTGGCTAATTTTTGTATTTTTAGTAGAGATGGGGTTTCACCATGTTGGTCATGCTGGTCTCGAACTCCTGACCTCAGATAATCCACCTGCCTCAGCCTCCCAAAGTGCTGGGATTACAGGCGTGAGCCACCGCGCCCAGCCTATTGCTGAAGAGTCTTTATTCTCCTCCCAAGACCCTGCTGTCCATCCCACTGCCAAGCAAGTGAAATCAAAGTTCCTTCTTATGGTGTTCAGTGCCCTCTGAGTGTGGGCTCCAACTTCCATATCGTATTGAGCCTCAGTTTCCTGCATCCCTTGGGCATCCCATGCTCTGACAGGGGAATTACAACCCCTTCTGCTTCACCCTGAGGGATCTTAAGTCCTGCTGTCCCCTTTGTCTGGAAAATCTCTTTTCCCTTTTTCCACCTGAGAACATCTGGCTCACCCTTCAAGATCAGATCAAATACCACTCCCTGCATGGCCTTCCACATCCTCCATCAACCTCACACACGCCTTCACTGGGGCTCCTGGAACCCTCTGCCTGCACTGTGGTCCCCAGTGGCTTTGAGCTGCTCTGGCTTTTCAAGCGTTGTTTACCTGTCTGTGAAGCCGGGGCGATATCATTTCACCCTTCTGCAAGGCTCAAGTGGGGCTCAGGGAGGAATTGTACCTTGCCAGTCACCCAGTCACTGACAGAGATGGGATGGGCACCCAAGTGTCTCAACCCATGCCTGGGTGGTGGGAGGAGCTAGCTGTTCCTATTTTCCAGCCACTGGGGCTTAAGGGGCCTTGGGGTAACCCTGGGCATCAGTGTGCCTGGCTGGGTCCTAGTGGACAGGCCTCTGCTTATGCTGATGACTGGAGCCACCTGGGCTGTAAGCATTTCTCTGATGCTCTGGTGTCTTTCCCTGTCCTGTGGGTAGGGCTGGGGGAAGGACAACAACAGGCATTGGACAGAATATCTTTGTCCTTTTGCCATAAAGGTATGAATTAGATGCCATTCCTGCCCTGTCCCACTCCAAGATCCAGGCAGAGAGCCAATAATGTGCATCTGTGTGACCCTCACACAGCCTTTAGCTCATCAGCGCTCACAGTCACCCAGCAAGGGAGGCACCACTGTCCCCATTTCACGGCTCACAGAGGCTAAGTGCACGTGTGTCTGAGCCTTTGTCCATGCCATTCCCTCCCTGCAAATCTTCTCCAACTGATGAAACTCATTCTTCCTAGACAAACTCAAATATCACCTGCTCTGGGAATCTTGCGCCTCCTTGATACTGCTGGGCCCAGGAAGATTGGATTTCCTCTCCCCGGGCCCCAGAGCCCTTTTGTGGCCACAGTGCAATCACGCTGTGTGTTTTATCTTATTTCCCTGACTCCCTCTGCCCGACCCCATGGTGAGCTTCCCACGGAGGGGCCCATTTTGAATCAGCACAGGCCTGGTACAGGGCACATGTTTAGCGAGTGTGTCTTCTCTTACAGGGATTTAGTTAAGTATATTCTTCAGGATGCTTTTGGTTGCAAGTGACAGAAACTCAACCTGGATGAGTTTAAGCAAAAAGAAGAATACATTGGCTCTGTAACCAGGGAGGCAGGAGGTAGCCGAGCTGGGCTCAGGGATGCCACAGCCAGGGCCTCTGGGCTCCAGGGCCACTTCCACTTTTCACATGGCTCTTCCAGTTCACAGAGGGGGTTTTTCCTTAAGCCCTGAGCATAAATAATTAAAAAAAAATTTTTTTTTTGAAACGAAGTCTCACTCTGTCTCACCCAGGCTGGAGTGCAGTGGAGTACAGTCGGCTTAGTGCAGCCTCTGCCTCCTGGGTTCAAACGATTCTCCCGTCTCAGCCTCCTGAGTAGCTGGGATTACAGGAGTGCACCACAACACCCGGCTAATTTTGTATTTTTAGTAGAGACGGGGTTTCACCACGTTAGCCAGGCTAGTCTCGAACTCCTGACCTCAGGTGATCCACCTGCCTTGGCCTCCCAAAGGGCTGGGATTACAGGCGTGAACCACCACGCCTGGCCAATAATAATTTTTAAAAAAATTTAAAAGAGTCAAATACCGACCAAATGCAATGTATGGACCTTGTTCCACCCCCAGGGCTCCCCGTCCCAGTCAAGGGAGCAGAAAGGGAAGAATCCCTATGTGGGCATTCTGAGCAGAACTCTGGCCCAGCCTGGAGCACACGCCCACCCCGCAGGCCAGTCACTGTGGTGGTGCTGGGAGCCCCAGGACACCCCAGCTAGAGCCAGGCGTCCACCCCTGGGGCAAGGAAGAGGAGAGATGGTTACTACGTGGAGGCAAGGAGGGGAGCAGTGTCTAAAAGAGGGGCGCTATTGTTGCAAGAGGCAGAGGAAGAGGTATTGGGCAGACCCAAAGCAATAGATGTCCACTACAGCAAGTAACGTCCCTTTCCAGGGCTCAGTTTTCTCATCTGTAAAATGAGTCAGTAGCACCTGCCCTGCCCAGTTCATGGGGCTGTTGTGAGGGTTATATAAGATCATTCACTCACTCATTCATTCAGCAGATATACACTGAACACCAGCTTTGTGCCAGGTACTGCTCCAGGTGCTTGCAATACAGCAGGGAGAGGGACAGAAATCCTTGAGCTCGTAGAGCTTACATTTTTGTGGCAGGATACTGAACCAAATCAATAAGTAAAATAAATAGTATGTTAGATCATGCTGAATTCTATGGAGAAGCATATGGCACTAAAGAGAGAGAAGGAGCATGAGCTGGGGAGAGGGTTGCAGGTGTAAACAGGGTGGTTAGGGAAGGCCTCGCTGAGAAGGTGACCAGGGATGTGCTGGCTGTTTTGTTAACTTATAATTATGAAAAATTTCAAACACACCCAAAGCACAGAAAATCATACAATGAATCCCTGTGTCCCCATCAATCATCTTCAATAATTATCAACGTTCTGCCTTTCTTGTTTCTTCTATCTCACCCCAGCCCCATTCTGGGAGGTGTGGAGAAATCTAAAGCCTGTCTCAGATGCCTATTAGTTCACCCATAAATATGTCAGAATATGTCTCTAACAGAGAAACACTTAAAACTATATGTAACCTCAATACCTTTATCATGGTATAATAAGTCCTTAATTAAAAAAAAGAAATTTTAGAGACAAGGTCTCTCTCTGTCACCCAGGCTGCAGTGCAGTGCTGTGGTCATAGCTCACTGCAGCCTCGAACTCCTGGGCTCAAGTGGTCCTCCTGCCTCAGCCTCTTGAGAACCTGGGACCACAGGAGCACTCCACCACTCCTGGCTTCGTTCCTTAATTTATGTGCTAACTCAATTCATGTTCAGTTTTCCCCAATTATTGACCAAAAAAATATATATATAAAATACATATAATATATTATATATAAATAGATATATATTTTTTATAATTCATTTGTTCAAATCAGAATCCAAACAAGGTCCATCCATTGCATTTGGTTGATATTTCACTTTTAAATTTTTATAAAAGTATTATTATTTGTACAGACAGGGTCTCACTGTGTTGCTCAGGCTGGTCTCAAACTCCTGGCCTCAAGTGATCCTTCTGCCTCAGCCTCCCAAAGTGCTGGGATTACAGGTGTGAGCCATGGCACCCAGCCTTGACTCTTTTAATACACCAGTTGTTCCTCCTTCCCCCCTTTATCATTTATTGTTGAAGCCCCAGCGTCATTTATCTTATAGAACTTCCCACATTCTGGACTTGCCAAAGGTATCCTCATGGAATTACTTAAAATGTCCCGCTAGCTTCCATATTTACTCTAACTGTAGACAGAAGCAGAGACTTCCTGAGATTCATATTTCTTGATTTTTTTCAAGAAGATATTTACTGGCCAGTGTTAGATACATCAGTGGGTTCAGGGTTTGTTAGCCTGGTCTATTTGCTACATGCACCACCATGCACGGCTAATTTTTAAATTTTTTCTGTAGAGATGGGGGTCTTACTATGTTGCCCAGGCTGGTCTCAAACTCCTGGACTCAAGTGATCCTCTTGCTTTGCCCTCCCAAATTGCTGGGATTACAGGTCTGAGCCATCATGGCCAGCCAAAATTATGTTTTCCTAGTGTTGTCATTCTTTCTGAGGTCTTCCATAAATAAGTTTTCCTGGCCGGGCGCAGTGGCTCACGCCTGTAATCACAGCACTTTGAGAGGCCCAGGTGGGTGGATCACTTGAGGTCAGGAGTTCGATACCAGCCTGGCCAATATAGTGAAACCGTGTCTGTACTAAAACTACAAAAATTAGCTGGGCATGGTGGCAGGTGCCTGTAATCTCAGCTACTCAGGAGGCTGAGGCAGGAGAATTGCTGGAACCCAGGAGGTGGAGGTTGCAGTGAGCCAAGATTGTGCCATTGCACTCCAGCCTGAGCTGACAACAGCGAGACTCAGTCTTAAAAAATAAATAAATAAAAATAAAAAGTTTTCCCTCACCATCTATTTAGTTGTCCAGAAATACAGTCCATATAGGAAAGGCCAAGCAGATGTTAAATTTCTGTTTATCAATTTCCTTTAAAAAATTGATAAATAAGTTAGTGCCTAGCAACCTCTAAAATACACCAATGAGTTTCATTTTAATTTCTTTCGAGTTACATTGTGAATTATTGTTTTTATGTATATGTTTCAATCCACTGCAAGCATTACTCTCTTTTGATGCTCAAATTGTACCCTCTTTAGCCAGTGGAAGCCACTTCAAGTAGGTTTCTGTGTCTTTTTTTTTTTTTTTTTTTTTTTCAGATGGAGTCTTGCTCTGTCACCCAGGCTGGACTATGGTGGCACAATCTCAGCTCACTGCAAACTCCACCTGCCGGGTTCAAGTGATTCACATGTCTCAGCCTCCTGAGAAGCTGGGATTACAGGCGTGTGCCACCACACCCAGCTCATTTTTGTATTTTTAGTAGAGACAGGGTTTTGCCATGTTGCCCAGGCTGGTCTCAAACTGGTGAGCTCAAGCAATTGGCCCACCTCAATCTCCCAAAGTGCTGGGATTACAGGCGTGAGCCACTGTGACTGGCCAGGTTTCTGTGTCTTTTGACACAGTCTCAGCAGTCTTTGATAGCTTCTTTGCTGTTTAGCATAACAAGATAACCAAGCATATTTTGTGTAGTTCCTGTATTAAACCTGGTACCAGACATTGCTCTAAAGAGCCTTGTTCATTTTAGCTGAACATAAGAATCCTAACTGAAAGCCTAGAGGTGTAAAATGCTGCTGGATTCTAGGCCTTCTTGGTAAACAGAACTAGGAAATAAATTTTTGAAATATAAAAATAAATCAAGTTCACACTGATACTTTCAATTCAAATTAAGGATCACAAGAGTTTTACTTACTATTTTAAATTTATATCTATCAGTCTGGGCACAGTGACTCATGCCTGTAATCCTGCACTTTGGGAGGCCGAGGCCAGTGGACCACCTGAGGTCAGGAGTTTGAGACCAGCCTGCCCAACATGGTGAAACCCTGTCTCTACTAAAAATAGAAATATTAGCTAGGCGTGGTGATGGACACCTATAATCCCAGCTACTTGGGAGGCTGAGGCATGAGAATCGCTTGAACCTGGAAAGCAGAGGTTGCAGTGAGCTGACATCATGCCACTGCACTCCAGCCTGCACTACAGAGCCAGACTCGGTCTAAAGAAAAAAAAAAATTATACTTTTCACTCTTACACTGAAAATATTGGTTTCTATTGACATTAACTTACTTATTTGCTCTAATATATAATAATTGTAAAATGATATTTAATATTATTACTAATAGTAAGTTTACTGAATATAGTTTAAGATGTTGTTGCGGTTCATTTTGTCCTTGAGATATATCCCACTAGGACTGTGTGGTCAAAATACTGTCTTTCAAAGTCATTTGAAATCATTTTTCCCCATGTGACTGTGCCTCCAAGTTGGTAAGATTCAGTTTATTTGTTTCAGTATGGGATATTTAGGGGTTACTTAACTTTTTTTTGATCTCTTAAAATTATATAAAATATTTTATGTGCTTACAAATGAAAATTATGAAACAGGGCACATTTAAGGAGATCCAGCCATCATGCCTGCTTCCTCCCCTCTTTTTACTACTTCCCCTGACAGAGAATTATTCTTATTGGTCTCTTTCCATTGTTTTCTTTTGTTAAACACAAGCAAATCTGCACATATAAAAATGTACTTTTAACATTGTAGTAGACTGTGCATATTTTCACTTGCGGGGTTATTATTATTATTAATTTCAAAATAATGTTTTAATAATTAACTTAAATTCCCTACTGCATAATGTTTTAACTAACATTCTGAGACCTTGCCTGACACTTCCTGTCTCTTTTCCTGGCTTGCTTTTTTCTCCATAGCTTCTCACTGTGTCATAAAAAAAAAAAAATATATATATATATATATATTTTTTTTTTTTTTTTGAGACAGAGTCTCCCTCTGTCGCCCAGGTTGGAGTGCAGTGGCATGATCTCAACTCACTGCAACCTCCGCCATGGGGGTGCAAGCAATTCTCCTGCCTCAGCCTCCCAGGTAGCTGGGACTACAAGTGTGCACCACCATGCCTGGCTAATTTTTGTATTTTTAGTAGAGACGGGATTTCACTATATTGGCCAGGCTGATCTTGAACTCCTGACCTTGTGATCTGCCCACCTCGGCCTCCCAAAGTGCTGGGATTACAGGTGTGAGCCACTGCACCTGGCCCCATAAACTCTATATTTTCCCTGCTATGTTTATTGTCTGTCTTCCCTGCCAGAACATAAGCTCCATGAGGGTAGGGGTTTTGTCTGTTTTGTATCTGCCGTGACCCTAGCACCTGGAACAATGCCTAGCACTCAAACAGTATTTGTGGAATGAATACCAGCATGCTTGATCAGCATCTGAAGAATAAGCAGATGCATGAGCAAATAAACACATGGCCTTGTGTTCCCTCATTCCATCCCAAGAACCCAGCTTTGTAACTGGGCCCACTGCCCTTACCACATGTACACAAGACTCCAGCATGGAGTCTCGGCCATCCTTCTCTCTCGCCCCAGGTGTCAAATGTGGGGGTGTGCTCTCAGCACCTTCTGGAAACTTCTCCAGTCCCAACTTCCCTAGACTGTACCCCTACAACACAGAGTGCAGCTGGCTGATCGTGGTGGCTGAGGGCTCCTCGGTGCTGCTCACCTTCCATGCCTTTGACCTGGAGTACCATGACACCTGCAGCTTCGACTTCCTGGAGATCTACAATGGGGCCTCACCAGACAAGGGCAACCTGCTGGGGAGGTTCTGCGGCAAGGTGCCCCCGCCGCCCTTCACCTCCTCCTGGCATGTCATGTCTGTCGTCTTCCACTCGGACAAGCACGTGGCCAGCCATGGCTTTTCTGCAGGCTACCAGAAAGGTTAACGGGGGCCCTTAGGGACCTGGTGCAGTGGCTCACACCTGTAATCCTGGTGCTTTGGCAAGCCAAAGTGGGAGGATGACTTGAGCCCAGGAGTTCAAGGGGGGATTTGGCAGTGGAAGAGCTGGTTCTGGGGTGGAGGCGGGAAGATAGCAGCAGGGCTCAGGTGAGACCTGCAGGGTCTCATCATCTTGGCACACAGGCTGCTCTGTATCCTGCACGACCCAGCTCTCATGCATAGTTTATAAGGCAAAAGCAGCCGCCTCACCGTTCATGACCATGCTGGTAATCCTGGTAGCTGGGGTTCCCACCTTCTTGGCAATGCTCCCCATGCCTCCCTCCATTTCTTCCGGAGTCCTCAGAGGGTCGCACTGTGCTCAGGAATGAGGCTCTCATGCTCTACTACCCTTGTCCTTCTTGTCCTCTGTCATGGCATAAGGCCACAGGAGGGGACACCACTGCTGTTGCCACCTTCTGCAGCATCCCACCACTCCACAGCTTGGGAATCCTTGCCTGAGTTCCTGCAGTAGGGTCTGGGTGGAGCTGGTGACTCTTATATCACGTGTCCCTAGCCCCTCCCTCCTTCAACCAGGCTTGACACTTGCCTCTCACTCTAGTGAGGGGAGAGGAGGCCTTGCTCTTCTTGTCGTTCTCTTTGACTCACTTATCCTTGTCCCCAGGTTCTGTGCAAAGGCTCAAACGTCCTGCTTCTTCCCAATGCCGGAATCAAGGCCTTGTTGATGTTAGCTCAAACAGTAGACACCCACAGAGGCTACTGGTCCCCAGGGTCCACCAACAGCAATCCCGGGGGACTCAGGTGGGACCCCAGTCACTGCTGCATTTAGAAGGATAGAATTGTAGAATGCCACAACACAAGAACCATAGGCTGATCTAATAATAGTTTTGGAATTTTAGACCCTTAGATTTGTAGAATGTTAGGATATCAAAGTCATAATACCATCAGCCACATTTCCCAACATTTTTTTTTTTTTTTTTTTTTGAGACAGAGTCTCACTCTGTCGCCCAGGCTGGAGTGCAGTGGTGCAATCTCGGCTCACTGCAAGCTCCGCTTCCCGGGTTCACGCCATTCTTCTGCCTCAGCCTCCCGAGTAGCTGGGACTACAGGCGCCCGCCACCTCACTCGGCTAGTTTTTTGTATTTTTTAGTAGAGATGGGGTTTCACTGTGTTAGCCAGGATGGTCTCAATCTCCTGACCTTGTGATCCGCCCATCTCGGCCTCCCAAAGTGCTGGGATTACAGGCGTGAGCCACCATGCCCAGCCTGTAAACTCATATTTTAACTTCTTATAAGCCAATCATTAAAAACACAAGTAAATGTGGATGACCTCCAATGAGTTAAATTTTAAAATGTAGAATATTTAAATTTTAATATCTTATTAAAGACATTAAAAACTGTGGGTGCTGTCTTTTCATTACATTAAAAGAGAGCTTGAAATACAGCATAAGAATGAAATTTGCACCAGGTGCCAGCAGGTGCTCCAGGGGGCTGCTGGGGAGCCCCAGGGGACAGTTTGGAAGTCTCTGCGAAGGTTGTTACTATTGGAAGGGATCTCACAGGCTATCTAAACCTGCCCTCTCATTTCACAAAATCTGAGTACCTGAGAGGGCCTTCATAAAGTCACACGACTGGGCCAGCACTGGGAAAAGACGTCAAGTGCTCAGACGCCCCATCCAGAGCCCTGGTCACACAGCCGTGCCATAGGGTGAGACGCTGGAGTCTCAGGAAACACATCCCACATGTGCCCTCCCTGTTGGTGACCTCCGGCAAGTCACGGCATTCACCCACACTTGCTGTGTGGTTGTACTGGCCAAGCTGGCTTCCTGAGAGTTTCCAGCAGCATATTCTGACTCTGCTCAAGTCTGAGCCCAGTGGATCAAGCTGGTTCAGTCTTACGATTTCTAATGTTCCAATGAGGCTCAGAGAGGCGGGGTTACTTCCCCAGAGTCACACAGCTAATAAAAGGCAGAGACGGGAGACTACTTGTCTTCAGATGTCAAACCAAGCTCTACTTCATCAGGTCCTCTCTCTAAGTCTCGGTTTCCTCATCTGTTAGGGAGGTTTGATTACATTCCTGAGCTCAGGCACCCCAGCCTCTGTGCCCCACTGTGCCTCATAGGAGTGGATAGTGAAGGTCACAAGGGTCAAGTGCACAGGGTCCACAGTAAGTCTTCCTGGGTTCAAATCCTACTTTCTCAGTTACCAGTCGGGTGACTGCTCTCAGGGGCCTGACCATGTTCCTTGGGCCCTGCCACTTCAATGTGCTTCTGCCAACCTCCACAGTTCTTTGTTGGAGGGTTTTTTCTGAAGTCTCAGTAGGTCACTCCCAGCCCACAGCAGCCCTCCGCCTACACTCTGGGGAGTTGGCATATAAATACCGCAGCTCCCTTGCTCCTAGATTGACAGAACTCTGAAGTGTGTGCTTTACCCTGTCCCCAGAGTTCCCCTGCAGGTCAGCAGCTGGCTTGAACACACCTCCCCTTCTGTGTCCACTCCCTCCCTCCCCACCTGGGGGCCCCTGGATCTCCCAAGCAAACTCCTTGCACTCAAATCCTTATCTCAGGGTCTGCCTGGGATAAACTCAAGTAAGCTACTGAACTTCTCTTTGCCTCCCTTTTCTTAATTATAAAATCAGAGAAACTGCAGCACAGTCCTTGTGGGGCTAGTCTGAGGATTTGAACAGGCAGCATAGGTGCCAAGTGCTAGGCCTGCGCATGTGCTACACTTGCTACTTGGGTAGCAGGTGCTCGGTGGATGGTAATGAGACCCTCATGAGATACCTCTGGGGGCAGCATGTTGGGGTGTCTGGTTCTCAAGGGAGGAAATTGGGAACCACAAGGAGAAAGAAAGGTCAGCTTAAGTGGGCTCCCTTGCAGATGTGTGTGGCGGCGTCCTGACTGGCCTGTCGGGGGTCCTCACCAGCCCTGAGTACCCCAACAACTACCCCAACAGCATGGAGTGCCACTGGGTGATCCGGGCCGCTGGCCCTGCCAGCGTCAAGCTGGTGTTCGTGGACTTCCAAGTGGAAGGCAATGACGAGTGCACCTATGACTACGTGGCTGTGCTTGGGGGGCCTGGCCCCACCCGTGGGCACCACTACTGTGGCAGCACCAGGCCCCCCACCCTCGTGTCTCTGGGCCACGAACTGCAGGTGATCTTCAAGTCCGACTTCAACATTGGAGGCCGTGGCTTCAAGGCCTACTACTTCTCAGGTAGGAGGGGCTGGAGCTCCACCGCGAATCCTCCTGTGCCTACTGGGTTCCTATCGCCCCATTACACTTGCAGGGATCACACCTTTCTGCCCCCCAGCGGCCTTGGGCTTTCTGCACTGTCTCTGCCTGCAGTGCTCTAGCATACCCTTGGCCAATGCCAAGACATAAGCATGTCACCTCTGCGAAGACTTCCTGTTTTACCAGAATTGATCCCTTTTTCAACTCCTTATAGAAGTTTTTTACACTATGATCTAACATTTGTCTCCTCTGTATGTGGTTTGCATGTCAATCTCCCCTGTCTGACTGAGTCCCTTATGGGCTTATCTTTGCACCTGGCACATAGTAGTTACTAAGTATTTGTACAAATGAATGGATGAAGTCATGGGAAGTTTATAGTCTAGTTAGAGAGATTATAAGGAAAGAGACAGTGCAAGCCATTATGATCTGTGCTATCCATCAGTAAGAATCATGGATGACTTCGTGGAGGAGAGAATTGAGCAGTACCCTGAAGGAGTTAGATGGAAGCAGAAGGGAAGGGTGTTCCAAGCAGGAGGAACAGCATGTGCAAAAGCCTGGAGGGCAAGGAGTGTTTGGTATGCTCATAGTACATACCAAATGGGGCAGTGAGAAAAGGGGAAAGGCCAGGCATGAACCGCATCATCTGTCAAGCCAGGGAGTTTGGAGGTAACTCTGAGGACAGGTATTGTGTATTATTAGTGAATTCCTAACAGGGCCTACACCCGTGATGGGGACTGTCAGTTGGAATGCAAGTCCCAGCTTTCAGCAAGTTGCAGTTTAAAACAAGCTTTGGGATCAAGCATCTCAACTTTCAGCTAGTTGGGATCAATTGTCTGGTTTGCTAGCCATGGTGCCCACAACCTGCCTGGTGGTTTTAGGACCACTGTGGCGCCTGCTGCCTAAGCTGTAACTGCAGAGGGTGACTTCTCCTCTCCCCTCACTGTTGCTCCTCCCACCTCCCCCTCCCCCACCCAGGACAATGCCAGGAGGTATACATGACCATGCGGGGCAACTTCTCCAGCCCACGGTACCCCAGTTCCTACCCCAACAACATCCGCTGCCACTGGACCATCCGCCTGCCCCCGGGCTACCGGGTCAAGGTATTCTTCCTGGACCTGGACCTGGAGGAGCCCAACAGCCTGACCAAGACCTGTGACTTTGATCATCTGGCAGCCTTCGATGGGGCCAGTGAGGAGGCACCCCTGCTGGGGAATTGGTGTGGACACCGCCTGCCACCACCTGTCACTTCAAGCCACAACCAGCTTCTGCTTCTGCTGCACACGGACCGCAGCACCACCCGCAGGGGCTTCTCCGTGGCCTACATCGGAGGTCAGCTGGGCTGTGGGAGTGGGTCCACTGAGGGGGAAGGGGAGGCTTTGCAGCCTCAGTCTTTGCAGCCTCTTTCCTCCATCCCACCAGTTTGTCCTGCCCCCCATGAATGGTCTTCTCCAGTGCCTTTTCCATTGGCTACACCCTTGCCCACTCTCGGGACCCCTGAGACTGGACAGCACAGCTCCCGCTTGTTTCCACTATTGCAGAGCCTCCTTCCCCAGCTCCTAACTTCACGAGTCCTCACCCCTCCCCATCTGGTTCCTTCCCCCTGGGCCCCTGGCCCCTCTTGTGTTGTTATTGGTCCCCTGTATCCAGGGTAAATAGACAAAATATGCTAATATTGTTTATGGCAAAAAAATTGGTATAACCGTAGGGATGCCTACCAGCCCTGCTTGTATCATTCAGAACTACTCATTGAAAAAATGGTGCTTGTTTTTCCTCACTCAACAAGAAGCCTGGAGCTAGGCAGCTGCTGTATTGGTCCAGGGGCTCAACACTGTTCCAAGTGTTATCTCTGGGACTCTCTGAGCCTCACAGCTGCAAGATGGCTGCCATAGCTCCAGGCATCACATCCATGTTCAAGGCTAGAGAGGACAAGGGAAGTGCCAGCTGCAAATGACTCTTTATCAAGAAAGCAAAAGCGTCTCTAGAACCTCTCACAAGACTTTTACAAAATGTCCAAACAGTTTGAACTCAGTCAGATGGCCCTGCCTTGCTGCAGAGGAAGCTGGGGAGCTGGTATTTGGCTTTCTCAGACTCCATATTATTGTGTAGATTTGTCAGCCAAGAGGGTCCACCATTGCTTCCCTCCTCCCACCCTTCCTTGTCTACGGGCGCAGAAATGTCTGCACTCTGCACGTATCGTGCTCTCTTCCTGGCCAAGCAAAGCTCCTCATTGTGCAGGTATAGCAACGGAGGTGCTGAGAGGGGAAAGGCTTCATTGTGACCACAGGGGCAGTCAGCGGCACAGCCAGGATTAGAACTTACTCTCCTGCCTTCTTGCTTGTTTGAGAGGGGCACGAGGGAGGGGAGCTCAGAGCTAAGCTCAGAGAGACCAGGGTCACGTCCAAATCCTGCCATTTACTGATCATCCAAGAGGGCGCATCTGTATAAGAGGTTGATGAAGGCCCTAGACAGGTGGTCGTGAAGGCCAAAGGAAGTAACAAGGTCACAATGCCTGGATCCAAGGACATCTTTCCTTCAGGAAGGTGTCTCAGGCCTGTTCAGCATTTAAAAAGTCTTTCCTTGCTCCATATGCAAGGGGAGTTGGGGCCAGGGATGGAGGAGATGGTGAGCTACAGCAAGATTGTGGCAGAGCCGTGAACTTGGGCAGGCCCAGCCCCTTCGGGCCTCGGTGGGCTCCACCTGCAAGCTGGGGTGGGAGAGCTGTGGCTCTGTTAGCACAGCCCTGGAGAGCCCAGCTCCACTGGCTCTGCCTCCACTAGCTGGCATTGCCCTATGTCTCTGTGGGCCTCAGTTTTCCACCTGTAAGATGAGGATATTGACGGAAAGATCTTTAAAGTTCCTTTTGCCTCTGATAATCTTATTTTCAGAACTCTCCCAGGCCCTCTCCCAGCCCTGCGTGATTTAGGACAAGCCCCTTCTGCAGAGAAGGAGAGAAAGTTAGGGGAGGCGCTCATCCCAGCTCCTGTTCCAGCGGCTTCAGGGCAGGAGTGCCCACTCCAACTCCACGCCACATCCCTTTCCCTCAGATCCCTGTGGGGGCCCAGGGGCAGACAGGAGCACTCACACTGGACGAGGCTCCAGATGCGGCCCAGGCTGCAGGAGGCCTTCCCAGTGGGAGGGCAGCCACAGTGCCAGTTGGGGGTGACACACAGTTCAGCACCACCGAGATCATCGTGGGAGTCAGCTGGCCCATAAATCCCTGACTGCCCAGACACCAGAGGCTGAAATATGTCTGAGGCATTTCCCGGAGAGGGGTTGAGAGTTCCAGGCCTCTCCCTGCCAGCTCTCTTTCCTTTTCCTCCCACCAGGCAGCCGCCTTCCTTTCCCCTTCCCCCACCCCTGCCCCTGTATGCATGCACATGCACACACACACACACACACACACGCTCACCCAAAGCAGACACTGCGAGTCATGTGCGACCGTCCTGGCCAGGAGGGCTGCAGGAGGCTGCTGAATAGGGCGAACAGACCCGAACTTTGAAATCCTGTCGACCCCGTTGGCCACCGCAAACAACTTCATCTCTCAGAGTGTCGATTTCCAAACCTGTAAAATGAGTTTAGTCACATCTACCTCCTGGGGGCTCATTGTAGGGAGGGAAAGTGAGGCTTCCCTTGCCACCCTTTTTAAAACTGAAACTCTCCTTCCTCACTCCTCCCCAATTCGTTCTACTCTCCTGCTCTTTCTTCTTTGCTTGATTTTCCTTCGGGGCACTCTGACACACGGGTGTATTTTACTTTTATTGCCCCCTCCCCCATCTAGAATGTAAGCTCCACAAGGCAAGAATTTCAGCTGTGTTTTTTCCTCATTTTTGTATTTGTGGTGCTGAGAATAGGGCCTGCACATAGTAGGCCATCAATATATTTGTTAAATAATTAAATGAATTGCCTGGCACATGGCCAAGAGATTAGCAGATGAACTTTATGATTATTAAGAACATTCATTCATTCACTCAGCATTCACTGGGCTTGCCAAGCTCTGTGCTGGGCCCAGAGGACGCTGAGAGAATCAGACTCGGTGCCTTCCCTAAGGAGCTCACAGTCTGCTGGAGTTGAACGGAGTAACCCGTCTAAGATATCCCTTACCGTGCCCTGTAGGATTCCATAAGAGCCTTTCTTACTCTGGGCCTCAGTTTCTCCATTCACCACCCTTTGTGGGAGGGTGGGGGGCGTGGGGGAGGTGAGGGTCAGACTGCCTGACCCTAAGGCCTCCAGCTCCTCCCTCCGGTTCCCAGTGGTGCCCATGAACGTGAGCTGCTCCCGCACGGACTTCCAGATCCTGATCTCCACGCAGGCGCTGGCCCCGCTGGAGCGGACCAAGGTCTACCTGGGCAGCCGGAGCTGTGCTGCCCAGGAGGTCGGCGGCAACTTCAGGATCCAGGCCCGCTTTGATACCTGCGGCACTGAGTCTCAGGTAGGGGCTGGGGGGAGGGGGCAGGCACAAGGGAGGGACTCTGACCCTGCTGAAAGGCATCTGACATTCCTGAAAATTCAGCTTCTCCTGGCTCTGGGGGCCACACAGACGTGGATGCAGAGCTAAGCCCTTCTTGGCTTTACTTACCTCAACCAGTTTGCTCGGGGTAAATGTAGCAAAGAACTCCAAGAGGAGAGACAGAGGAGAGGGGTCCCTCCGGTTCCCAGCTCTCTTCCTTTTCTCTTCCCAGCTCTCTTTCCTAACCCCAGCTGCTGCTGCCTAACCTCAGCAGCAATCTAAAGACGCTACCGGTCACTCGTGCTACAGGTGCTCTGTTGGCTGTTCCTCCCCTTTCCCTTCAGAGCTCCCCCAAGGACCCTGAAGACCTCACCCCTTTAATATGCAGAGCTGTGGGAGCCCTGCTTCTCCCGCCCCTCCCCAACCTGGTGATCCAGATCCATCCCTGGGCTCCACAGCACAAAAGGCCCTTTCAACGCACAGGATCCCCTCCCTCAAAAGGCTGTGAGGCTTACAAGTCCATTTTCCCTACTATCCTTGTATTTTGGAGGCCGTGAACCCAGACATAGGGCCCTTAGAGAGTCACTGGGCAGTGGCTCAAGCACCCTGGATATTTGCATGCTTAGGGACAGGTCAGGAAGTGGGGTACGGAGAAAAGGAACAGTGGCCTCTGTTGGAAAGACTCCCCAGCCTTGAAATCCAGGGGCTTTGCAGTCAGACTTAGCAGAAATCATGTGCTTTCCAGCAAACCCTCCCCCGCTTCCCAACATTAGCCACATGTATGCCTCTGGCCCCTCCAGGCCACCCTCTGCCTGTCCGAGCCTCCTGGCAGCCACCATCCTTTTGACCTGAGAAGAGGAGGAGGGTAGGGGACCAGTCCTGGCTGCCGAGGTATTCTGCCCTCCCCCTACTCCATGCCCTAAGTCTCCCAGGGGTTTTGTTTGGGACAGAACCACATTCCATAAAGTCATGGAATGATGGAGACAAAGAATCTGAGAAGCAGGGACTCAGGAAATCCTGGAACCAAGGGCTCACATACACTCATGGTCTCATAGTCACAGAACCACCACCAGAACTCAGAAACACAGAACCATGGAATCTTGGGGTCAGTATCTTGGAAACATAAAATCAGAGAACCTTAGATTCATGGATTCTTAGTGTACCCCTTATAAATCCTAGACCCTCAAGGATCAGGGTTTGCATAGAGTTGCTTTCGAAGATACGCAGCTCAAACAGCTGACGACAATAAAAAGTAATGCCAATCTTTACGTGCATCTCTTTAAAAACATTAGAGACTTGACTCCACAGCCATCAACACCCCATGTTGTGTGGCTTTTCTTTCTTTGTCAAGTCTGTCACTCATCAAAACCCCCAAAAGATTCCCCCCCAACCCCCATTCTCTGATTTTTCCCTCCCTTCCTTGTTCTATAGATTAACATTAGCCTTTCACTGGGTCCCCTTCCACTCTCAGGAGTCTTTCTTTCTCCAGTGTCCTGATTCTATATCCCAAAAATCCAGGGCACAAGTTCTTCTCAGATGGGAGCAGGAGCTCCTTTGGGGACATGGAATCAGAGCCTTTTGGAAGCCCAGACTTGGAAGAGACACATGAAGTCACCTAGTCCATAAAACTGATTTGTGACCAGCCTGGTCAACATGGTGAAACCTTGTCTCTACTAAAAATACAAAAATTAGCTGGGTGTGGCAGTGCACTCCTGTAATCCCAGCTACTTGGGAGGCTGAGGCATGAGAATTGCTTGAACCCGGGAGGCAGAGGTTGCAGTGAGCCAAGATGGCGCCACTACACTCCAGCCTGGGCAACAGAGCAAGACTCCGTCTCTAAAAAAATAAATAAATAGCAACAACAACACACACACACACACACACAAAGAACCCTCCTGATTTGTGACACCTGTTCAATCCCAAAAGGGTTACCCAGTCTTCGGTGCTAGGGACTTCCTACTATTCACGGCTGCTGTGACTCTGCTAGGCAGCTTTGATTTTTAGAAGTGTCCTCTCAGAAGTGCTACTTGCTAGATGGGGACAGTTAGGAAACCCTGAAGAAGCCAGTGGCTGTGGCAGATTGGGCGTGGTTGGAAGAATAGTTCTGCATCGCTGCTGACCATGCCAGGCTGCCCCTCACAATGCTGCCCTCCAGCCTGGGCCTGCAGGCCCATCGTCTCAGGGCCACTCGACTCCTTCATCCGAGGTGGGAAGGGCAGCAGGGTGCCAGGCTCCCACATCTTGTTCCTCGATGGCTCTTCCCAACACTAGGCTGCTGTCCCTGGGGTGGCCAGGAACTCAATAGCAGGATACCTACTGCAGATATCATCGAGAGAAAAGGCTGCAGGGGGAAGCCACACAGCACCGGGGTCAAAGCTCCTAATGTGGAGGCAGGAGACTTGGTTTCTGACCTAGCTCTGGGCAAGTCATCACCCTTCCAGGCCTCAGTGGTCACGTCTGTAAATTTGCCAAGGATAGAGGATTGGGGTCGATGCTTTGAAAAGCCTCCTTTGGTTCTACATTATTTTGTTTGAGTGAGGTGTGATGGCCAAGAGCACAGTTAAGAGTTGGGCAGATCTGAGTGAGAATATGGGCTCTGTCACTTGTGTGCTGTGTGACGTCAGGCAAGGGATTTAACCTCAGGGCCTTAGTTTCCTCCTCTTTAACATGGTTTTGTTTTGTTTTGTTTTTGAGACAGAGTCTCGCTCTGTCGCCCAGGCTGGAGTGCAGTGGCGCGATCTCAGCTCACTGCAACCTCTGCCTCCCGGGTTCACGCCATTCTCCTGCCTCAGCCTCCAGAGTAGCTGGGAGTACAGGCGCCCGCCACCACACCCAGCTAATTTTTTGTATTTTTAGTATTTAGACATGGGGTTTCACTGTGTTAGCCAAGATGGTCTTAATCTCCTGACCTCATGATCCGCCCGCCTCGGCCTCCCAAAGTGCTGGGATTACAGGCATGAGTCACCGCGCCCGGCCACATGGGGGTTTTAATGGTACCAGTAAGAGAAGGTTGTTGTGAGAATTAAGTAAGATATTTAAAAGTATAGAGCCTGGACCATGGTAAATGACCCCAGAACATTAGCCGGAGAAACATGGGCATCAAATCTGATATTGTCCTTCCAGACAGCTCACCCTCATGGTACCCCTTTTACAGATGGGACCACTGAGGCTCAGAGTTAGGACTCGAACATAGGCTCCTTGGGCTCTGCCCCCCGGTACTGAGACCCCCACATATATAGGGAAACAAGGTCAGCCCAAGCTCCTTCAGGTGTGACGAGTACCCTGTGACCCCACAGAGAAGAAACAACACTTCAGTGATTGTCAGCGTGCTGTACATCGACTTCTCAGCCGCAGGGCGGGAGGACATCCATGAGTACGAGGTCCGCTGTGAGCCGCGGCGCAAGGAGGCTTCCGTCCACCTGCTGTCTGGCTCTCACTGGCTGGGTCCCTATGCTGCCACTGCGGAGCACCTTCAGGAAGCACCACCCGGGGATGAGGCGGAGGCACTGGAGGGTCCGGTGACCATGGTGGCCCAGGATACCAGTGACATCGTCTTCCTGGGGCTTTGCATCCTGGCTGGAATCCTCATGGTTATTGCCATCGTGGTCTTGATGCTGCTTTGAATAGACAGCATAGGGACCTGGCATCTGACATGCCTGGGAAGCAGCTTAGGGACCTGCAACAGGGGTGGGATGGGGACTTGCTGACTTGGTGACCATGGGCAGGTCATGTCCCTCTCTGAGCCTCCATTTCCTAGGGACAGCCATTCTGCCCTGCTATCTCACAGGGCTAGCATGAGGCTCAGAGGCAGGCAGAGATGGATAAGAGCTTTGTAATCTGTAGCATGCTGTGTATGTATATGCAATTGCTGTTAATAATTTTAAAGATATTCTGCTGTAGAAAAGAACTCTCCCACGTGTGTTACTTGTCAGTTTGGATAGTTGTGGTCACTGGTGGCAGAGTGTAGATAAAACTGACTCGTTCTATAACTTATATGGGTGCTTTACCAACTCAGGATACAAATAAAAGCACTACTAATTTTCCTTCCTCCCTCCTTCCCTCCTTCCTTCCCTCCCTTCTTCCTTCCTTCCTTCTTCCTTCCTTCCTTCTTTCCTTCCTTCTTTCCTTCCTTCCTTCCTTCTTTCCTTCCTTCCTTCCTTCTTTCCTTCCTTCCTTCCTTCTTTCCTTCCTTCTTTCCTTCCTTCCTTTCTCTCTCTTTTTTCTTCTCCCTTCCCTTCCCTTCTTTTCTTTTCTCTTTTCTTTTCTTTTCTTTTGTTTTCTTTTCTTTCAAGACAGAGTCCTGCTCTATTGCCCAGGCTGGAGTGCCATGGCACATTGTTGGCTCACTGCAATCTCTGCCTCCTTGGTTCAAGGAATTCTCCTACCTCAGCCTCCTGAGCTGCTGGAATTACAGGTGCCTGCCACCACACCCGTCTAATTTTTGTAGTTTTAGTAGAGATGTGGTTTCACCATGTTGGCCAGGCTGGTCTCGAACTCCTGACCTCAGGTGATCCTCCCGCCTCAGCCTCCCAAAGTACTGGGATTACAGATGTGAGCCACTGCACCTGGCCTTATTTTTCCAATTAATTGCTCATCTTAGGCCTTCATTAGCAGGAAGCTAATGAAGTATCCATCCAGGGGCCTTCACCCTCCTGAATTGACCCAGGAACCCTGGGAACTTTGTCTAAAGCAGGCCGGCTCTGCCTCCAAACTCCAGGAATAGAGAAAGGGAGCCAAAGTCTGATCCAGTGCCCTCACTTCAGCCCCTGCCACATGGTGTCAGTGTTGAAGGCTGGACCTGCACATCTTGGCCGATGCTTGCCCGTGGAGGTGGCAATGCCCTGCTGGGTCAGAGCGCCATATAAATCAGGGCAGGCCACACGCTGTGCTCAGTCGTGAGGCTGGAGCTGAAGGCTGGTGTCTCTCTTTCATGTTGGAGTTTTTCCTTAAATGTCTGTGATCCTTGACAAAAGCTGATTGAAGTCCCACATGTCTCTGTCCTTGCCCTGATGCCAAGCTCAGATCGCCAGTCCATCTTTGCCCTCCAGAGGAGTTCTCTTTGGAGCCCTCTGTACCCTCTCCTGCCTTTGGACTTCAGTCAGAGCTACTCCAGTCTACTCAGAGCTACTCCAGTCCACCCACATTTTCTAAGTTCATATCACAGTGGGCTGGGGTTGGGTTTCCCACCCTTCCTCAAGGGAAGATCTCTGGGATTATTATGCAAATTGATCCATCCTTCTCAGAGCTCTCCTTGACACCAAGAAGTGAAGCAACTTGTTAATGAAAAATAAACAAAAAATACATTTATAATACACCATTTTCCCCTGCTCATCTTTGTATTTGCATAATGATCACTCCAGAGAGTCCTTTCACAATAGCAGAAATCTCCAGATTGACCATGCTGCCCACTGGCATCAAGTTAAAAAAACTGCGGCCCAATTACAATTCACTCCACAACCCAACAAGCATCCACTGGATTCCCGATTTTGTGTCTGTTGTTGTGGCAGGCTCCAGGCACACAGCAGCACACACATCAGACAAGATTCCTACCTGTGAGACGTTTGGTGTGGGAGAGCAGAACTGGGGAGGGAGAGGGATAGATGCATCGATAACTTGGAAAAAAAATGAGAAAGAACCAGTAAAGTAAGAAATGAATTAAGCAGGGGAAAAAGTTGCCTGGACATTAGGAATTAAAATGCGTTCCAGTCTAACTGGAAGAGTTTGAAATGGGTTCAGGCTCTTCTAGTGAATTAGGGACTTTTGCCAGGGTAGGTGTGCCAGCAGGAGAGTCTTGAACCTGCCCTAGGGTGTTGGGAGTAGAGGTCTCTTCCTCTTTCTCTGCTACCCACCTTCTCACCCTCAGTCTTGAGCCAGGTACCTTCAAGCCAGTTACCTTCACCAGTCAGGTGCCTTCATCCTCATGAGCCCATTCCCTTCTCTGGCTCAGTTGTCTTTTTCTCTTTCTTTCCTTCCTTCCTTCCTTCCTTCCTTCCTTCCTTCCTTCCTTCCTTCCTTCCTTCCTTCCTTTTTTTGAGACGGAGTCTCACTCTGTTACCAGGCTGGAGTGCAGTGGCACGATCTCAACTCACTACAACATCTGCCTCCCAGGTTCAAGCAATTCTCCTGTCCCAGCCTCCCGAGTAGCTGGGATTACAGGCGTGCACCAGCACACCCAGCTACTTTTTGTATTTTTAGTAGAGATGAGGTTTTGCCATGTTGGCCAGCCTGATCTCGAACTCCTGATCTCAAGTGATTCGCCTGTCTTGGCCTCCCGAAGTGCTGGGATTACAGGCATGAGTCACCAGGCCTGCCTGGGTTTTCTTATTGGCAAAATGTGAAAAAAACATCATTACCTTCAGCACCATCACTGTCCTAGCTACCACCTCCTAAGCACCAACTATGTGGCAGGTGTTTAACGTGGCTCCCCCAAGGTCACACAGAAAATCAATGGCAAGGCTGGGCCTAGAACTTGGGTTTCTAAGTCAGAGCTTTTAAGTGGACTTACAGGTCCATGCTAATAATCTTATTTAAGACACTTTGCAAGTTAGCCCTAATTGCCCCCATTTTACAGTTGGGGAAAGTGAGGCTCTGGAAGGGTAAGTGCTGTGCCCAAGGTCATATGCCTATGGAATGTTGAAACTTAGTTCTTCCCTGAACTGGGGGCATCGTGCAGCAGGCTGGAGCCTCTTGGGATCCCAGGCCAGTGCCCTCAAATGCGAGGGCTGTGTCTGGTTGGGAAAGGATTGAAATAGTAGAGAATGAGAGGATGGTTTTATCTTCACAGACGTGCCCAAATACTGCCATTCCCAGCCCTCCAGGCAGCCAGCACGTTGATTATCTGTGTGAGCTGTGGAAAATGACAGTCTTTATGAAAGCACAGTGTCTATTAGAAATGAAAGGGCTGAAATGATATCCATTAGCCAACATGCCCTGGCCCTGGAATAGTGTCGGGCACGGTGGGCACGGCACGGCTTGCTTGCTCACCTACCAATTTTCTCTTTTCAGAGTGAGGGGCTGTGGAAAGAGCCAGGCTTAAACTCCAGCTCCCTCCCCATAGTCTGTGTGACCATGGGACATGCCAACCCTTGAATGGGAGCTTTGGATCCTGCTGCCGGCCTGTCCCAGCAAGGTTGATGTCCCTGAGGAAAGGGTCCCTGGCAAATGCATGCATTGGTCTTGGGAAAACACTCTCCGGGCTGCAGGTCAGGCAGCCTTGGGATCATTTCCAGTTCTTTCCCTGACTCTGTGTGACCTCGGGTAGGTTGCTTAACCTCTCTGAGTCTCGGTTTCCTCATGTGTGGGATGAGGGTATGAACACCCTCCTCACCGGATTATCATGAGGGTTAAGTGAGAGAACATGGAGACAGCACCCCGTGTAGGGCTTCCCCTGGATGGATCAGGAAGTGGTTGGCTGGTGGGCTCTGGCCTGGGCAAAGGCTTCCCTAAGGAGTCCTCAGATCCCAGAGTTGGGAGAGGCCTCACAAGAAAGCAAGTCCCCACCGTCTCCCCTATCCCACCTCCCAGCTTCCCTGCTGTCTTCCAGCAGACCAAGGCTGTTCCCACCCACAGTCCTCCGCATGGAATGTCCTTCCACCACAGCGTCTCCTGACTCGGCCCCTTCATGTCCCTTTCTACTCTCATGACCCCCCACTTACCTAAAATAGCATCCCCAGCCCGTCCCTGGTACCCCTTTGCTTTGCTTCATTTCCTTCCTAGTAGGCATCACCGTCTGAAATGCCATTAGCTGTCTGCTTCTGCTGTCTATGCTTGATTCCCCTCACTGCAAAGCCAGCTTCGTGAGGCCATCTTCACCTTGTTCACTCCTGCCACCCAGTGAGTATCTGTGGTTGATGAGTGAATGAATGGATGGGTTCAACTTCATTCAAGTCATTCAGTCCTGTGTGTGGGATGACTGTATTGTGATGCAACCTAAGTCAAGGGCATTTCTCAGATGCCTTCTCCGTGTCCTCCTGCACAGAGATGCAGACTGGCTCAGGCATGGCCGGCCCCCAGGAGCTCACCGTCTAATGGAGAAAGACATGTGTGAAAGCAGCTATAAGGTACACAGTGCTCGAAGAATCTGTCCATCTATCAGTCAGGATGGTGGGAACAGGAGACAGTCCACTGAAATTGGAAATTTGAAGAGCATGTAATAAAGAGATAACTGACAAAGGTGTGAGCAGCAGGCAGAGAAGCCACGGGGACCGGGCATGGTGGCTCACACCTGTAATCCCAGCACTTTGAGAGGCTGAGGCAGGCAGATCATTTGAGGCCAGGAGTTCAAGACCAGCCTGGCCAACATAGCGAAACCCCGTCTCTACCAAAAATACAAACATTAAATGGATGTAGTGGCGTGCACCTGTAGTCTTACTGCTCCAGAGGTTGAAGCAGGAGAATTGCTTGAACCCAGGAGGCGGAGGTTGCAGTGAGCTGAGAATGTGCCACTGCACTCCAGTCTGGTTGACAAGAGCAAGACTCTGTCTCTCAAAAAAAAAAAAAAAAAAAGGAGAGAGAAGCCACAAGGGAGAGTTCAGAACGTGGGGCGAGTGACAGTGAGAAGCCCTTACCATCCTCAGGTCTGAAGGGTGAGGGGAGGAGACGTGTGCTTCCACGGAGGGGCACAGCCAGCCAGAGGACCCCACGGGAAGGAAGCTTCCTTCTCCTGCTGCCTCCAAGGCAGTGCATGCAGTCAGTGTGGTTTGGCCTCCCCAGGACACAGAGTAGAGTGGAGAAGAGGAACAGGTAGATCCAGAGGCGCACATGGAGACTCACAGAGAAATAAACAAAGTGCTTTTGTGTCAAAGACTTTTGAGAACAAGACAGGATTAAGATGAATGACTCAATTTGTGTAAGTGCTGGAGGAGCACCGAGGGAGGACTCACACCGCCAGGAGACTCATCCATCAGGCACAGGGAGGAGGAGGAATGGCATCCCAGGCATAGGGAACAGCATGTGCAAATACAAAGAGACGTGAAAGAGCCTGTCATGCCTGGGAGCCAGGAAGAGGGCTGCAGGGGGGTGCTGGGAGGTGTGTGGGGGCAACGCTGGAAAGACGGGCTGGGAAGTTATT